CGGTATTGCTTCACGAGTTGCGACTGTGAGACGATGGGAGAGGATAGAGTGACGTTCGAATGAAGGCATTTGCTTCGGCGCCGAAGAAAGGCAAATTTTGCTGACTTGCTGACTCGCCAGGCCGCTCAGCACCATGATTACCGACCCCAAATCCATCCTCTGTGGAGACAACATGTTCATAGTCGGCGGAAAGGAGAACGTTCATGCACACGGTCAGCCAAATGGATCTCTTTCGCCATTCTGCTCAGATTAGTCAAGGAACTGCAAGCACGTCCGTCACCTGCTACATTGCTCGACGTATTGCTCGCTTGTCAAACGCAGCTGCATCAATCGCGACACACAGGTCGTATTCATCAAACTGAGTCCAAGGCAGATGGCGAAATACTTGCTGCCGATGGTTCGTGGCGCAGTCAAGCTATACACCGCCGAGCTTGCTACGGAGTCCGCGGATGGTGCAGTGAATGAGGCCGTTGATATGGTGGACTTCAGATACTCATCTACGACCGAGCGGGATTCGCGAGGCGACGACTTTCACGGAGAACTCGAGGCGGAGTTGAAGAAGCTGCTCAATCAGTGATAGAGCGAGGGAACCAGGAACGGGTTGGCCAGAAGTTTGAGCAGCTTCCAAGGAGTGGAATCAAAAATGATCCCGAGGGAGCACAACATGTTGCGTCCACCCTGGAAAGCAGAGTCTGAAAGACGAGAAGAAGCAAGCAGATATGGCTGTACAGTATCAAGTTGAGACCGACTCAAGCAGTCCCGAAGCCGTACCATAAATGCAGTTAACTCAAGGTATATACTTACCTATTATCTCATCCCCTTCAAGCTCAGCACACGCAGCATTTTGTCTCATGGTAGGGCCACCTACGACACGGTGCGCTGACCGTGGCCGTTGATGGTGTAGACACAAGAAGCGGATGAAAAGTCAGTAGTAGCTAGTAGGGCTTAGAATAGCTAGGCAAGCAAAGATTGAAGTCTGCAAAATACCAGAACTATTTCGTGATTGGGAGTTCGGTGGCTGCTGTCATGGAGATAACAAGCCTTTCAGGTTGAAGTTACGCATCCAGGAGGTCGGCACAATTCCTGGCTGCCTTGTATGATGTCGTATCTTGCCATTGCTATGTTCATCACGTCGGTGGAAGAGTGAGAAGGAGGAGCTTAAGTGAAGTCTAAACAGGGATCTATTTAAGCTTCGTGGTCCGAGCTTCCAAACGCGGACGCGACGCGTTCGACTCAACTTTCCGCCTCCACTGCTACGACCGAGCATCAGCACATCGCGGAGCCAACATCGCCGCCAGCGCTGCCGCCGCAATGGCGCCACGCAAACGCGTACGAGATATTCACGATGTCGACGGCGAGTCTGACGTCGAAATCGAGAGTGCGAGTTCCAGCTTCCGCATGAACAGCAACCATACCAAGCGAACACGAATTGCAATCGCCCAGGCCAGCCGCGGTTCTGTAGTGTCAGACGAAGAAGACTTTCTCAATAGCGATACGAACGACATCAATATCGATGATGAGTCTGACGTCGAGACTGCGAACAATCCGGACATCGACTACAGCCTAAGGCAAGACTCCAGCGACGATGACTGCGAAGACGACGGCTTCGATGAGCTCAAGGCGACGCAAATTGTGCATAGGCAGTTCAAGGAGCATCGTGAGAACATAGCCGCCGATCATGGTGTGGTCGAGGAAATCTACTGCACCAACTTCATGTGTCACGCCAAGCTGCGCATCACACTAGGTCCTCTGATCAACTTCATCATCGGGCACAACGGAAGCGGCAAGAGCGCCGTACTCACAGCACTGCAGATATGTCTGGGCACAAAGGCATCGGAGACCTCGCGCGGCAGAGGCCTTAAGGCGTTGATCAAGGAAGGCACCGACAAAGCTACCGTTGGCGTCACGATCAAGAACGAAGGCGAAAGTGCCTACAAGCCTGAGCTGTACGGTCGCAGCATTACCGTAGAGCGACATTTCACCCACAACTCCAGTGGCTTCAAGCTGAAAAGCGCTGCTGGAACCACCATCTCCACCAAGAAATCCGATCTCGACGACATGCTGGACTATTTCAGTCTCCAAATGGATAACCCGATCAACGTTTTGACGCAGGACAAGGCCCGCGCTTTCTTGTCGAACAGCACGCCGACCGAGAAATACAAGTTCTTCATGAAAGGCACTCAGCTAGAAATTCTCAACGGCGATTATAAGCTCATAGAGGAAAACTTGGACAATACGAGTGCGAAGATGCGACAGAAAGAAGAAGACATTCAAGTGCTCAAGCGACAGTATGAGGAGGCTGACCGTAGGAAGAAGCGTTCCGACAATACTCGCAAGATGTACGCCAGAATCAAGGAGACTCAACGTGAATGGGCGTGGTCTCAAATCGAAGTCGAAGAGCAAGAATTGCAGCGGCGGGAGCAAGACGTCGCCAAAGGCAGAGACGACCTCACTGAGGCCGAGCAAGCTGCAGAGGAAGCTACGGCTGCCCTCGAAGCGCAAGAATCCGCAGTCGACGGACAGAAACGAGCCATTGAAGAGCACCAACGGTCACTGCGGCCGTTGCAAGAGGCGTACAACGCTGCCAAGGAGAAATGGGACAATAACCGCAAAGCTTTGGTAGACAACAAGGCAGAAGAACGCAGAATCCAAGACGACTTCAAAAGAGCGAAACGAAACATTGCACAAGTCAGTCAAGAGATTGAGACCGAGCGACAGCGCTTGGCGGGCGAGCATGGAGAGGCACATGCGCAGCGTCTTATTGACTTGGACCGGCTCAAAAAGTTGGCTGTTGACGCGAAGCAAGCACACCAAGACCACGAAGAAGGTCTTCCCGCGCTCGAAGCAGCCGTGGTGGCTGCCAAGCAACGGTGGACCGAAGCCAAAGATCCCGTTGAAGGCGCTCGCACCGAGCACGAGCGTGTCAAAAAAGACTTGGACACTCTCCAGCGCGATCAGGGTCAGAAATGGGGAGCCTACCCACGGAATTCAGACAAGCTGTGCCATGCCATTGAGAGGGAGACTCGCTGGCGCAAGAAACCCATCGGACCAATCGGCATGCACATTGCCATCACAAAACCACTGTGGAGCCCAATCGTGGAGAGAATATGCGGCAAAACGCTGAACGCATTTGTTGTGACTTGCAAATATGATCGCGACATCCTCGATCAGCTTGCCAATCGAGTTGGTGCCTCAGAAATGACCGTCTTCATCACCACCGATGTTCATATCAATGTCGACGAACCAGATCCTGCTGTCGACACCGTGATGCGAATCTTGAATATCGAATCCGAGGCAATTCGCAACACTCTCGTCATCAACCACGCAATTGAGCAGACCGTTCTGTTCGAGGACTTGGACAAGGGCAGAGACTTCATGTTCGGCGAGGGTCATCGCCCGCCAAACGTGCGCGCTACCATCACATTACACCCTCATAACAAATCCGCTGGTCAGCGTTGGGACTATGATCCTTATGGCGGAGTGAAAGTTGGTCCCGTTGCTCCGTGGCAAGGTCGAGGGCGGATGATTGTTGACAAGCAAGAAGAGATCAGGCTCGCCTCAGAGCGTGTGCAGGAAGCTGCACGTAAGCGCGGTCAGACGGAGCAGCATGCTCAGCATATGCAAAATGAGCACACCAAGGCTGGACAAGCAGTCGTAGCACACAAACGCGAATCCAGACGGCTGAAGGAAGCATATCAGAGGGCTGACGACAATGTCGATGCTAAGCAAGCCGAGATCGATGCCAATCAACCGAGAGACGGCAGGCTCCAAGAGCTGCAGCGCCAAGAGGAGGAGCACAATCAGGAGAAGAAGGCTGCAGAAGATTCGATGCAAGATGCGGCTGCACAAAATGCCGAGTTGAATGCTAATGCGCGAGTCTTGAAGGATGAGCTTGAAGCAGCTGACGATGAAAAGTTCAAGGTGAAGGACTTGATCGACAAAGCCGAGAAGAAACTGTCAGATCTCGATGACGCTCGGAAAGCAGCACTGGTGAGAAAGAACGAAACCTACGACATTATTGATCTGCGCAAGCACGAACTAGCTGAACTGGAAGAGGCCGTGGAGCAGAAGAAGAAGCAGATCGAGGAGTGGATACCAGAGGCGGAGAAAGTCGCCCCTGAGCGAGTTCCGGTCAACAGCACTCCTGATGCCCTCGAGAAGCTGTTCAATACATTGCAGGCCGACTACGAAAAGGAACAAGCCACACAAGGAGGGACGCGACAACAGATTGCAGAGCTGTGGAAGAAGGCCGCAGAGGACTTCAGGCGCGCCAAGAAAGACCACAGAACCATGCGGAACGTGATCCAGGTAAGTCATGCCCACCGTTCCCTCAAACCCTTTTATTGACAAGACCGTAGCTACTGACCAAAACCTTGGCTGAGCGTCACCGCCGCTGGGGTCTTTTCCGCGGCCACATTTCCATGCGTACCCGCATCAACTTCAACTACCTCCTCACCGAGCGAAACTTCCGTGGTCGTCTCAACTTCAAACACAGCGAGAAAACGTTGGATCTCACCGTCGAGCCTGACATGACCAAACAATCCGATACAGGACGTCAGACAAAGACCCTCAGCGGTGGCGAAAAATCTTTCTCCACCATCTGCTTGCTCCTGAGTATTTGGGAAGCCATGGGCTCGCCGATCCGTTGTCTCGACGAATTCGATGTCTTCATGGATAGCGTCAACCGTTTGCAATCCATGAAATTGATGATTCAGACCGCTCGGCGGTCGGTTGGAAGGCAATTTATTCTGATTACTCCGCAGGCGATGGGGAATGTTGAGTTTCATGATGATGTTACGATTCACAAGTAAGTTGTCTAACCATATCTTCCTTGAGCGATCAATACTGATAGTTTCGCAGGATGAAGGATCCGGAACGAAATCGAGAGCCTGGTCAGCAGGCTCTTGACTTTGGTGGTGCTTGAGTTGATGATCATATTTGCCTCGCGCTGGTCAAGCCTTTCTTGAACCCTCCTACGTGTATAGTTCGAACGTCATGAATTTGTACAATTCTCTCATCCCTCGCGAGACCTTGATCCTCTCGTATCAATCATCACAATTCGTGCGCTCTTCCTAATCATAGCATTCACATCATTCCTCCCATTCGACTCTCCACTCACGACGCGAAGATTTCAGACATGCATGCGAGATTGGCTGTCCTGTCCTGAATAACCTTGGGAGAGACCTTCTCAACTTCAGTTTCGAATGTCATTGATGATTTCGACCAATCCACTGCATGATCTCTTCCTCGCTCGTGCGTCTCTCTTCGTCTCCGTACTTCTTTCTCCTTGACCACGATGTCCATGACAATGAGCTCGTCGGAGGCTGCTCCTGACTGAAACAAAATGGGCCGAATTTCTTGCCTCAAGTCGCTTGGGCTTGCGTATGGGACGCTGGAAGCTTTTGCGGTGGACGTCGCGGGATCCTCAGCATTAGGAGCTGAGATTGGTATGGGTAGGTAGACTCATGGCCTGAAGTCGCGTCGCGTCGTGAACTGTTAGATCGCTGCCTCGAGGCGGAGAAATCTTATGGGGCACTGGGTAGGTGCGCACGAAAGACGACCAAGATGCGTGCATGGCTGGTGAAGTCGTATTCAACAATCCGCGCTCGCTCTTGCCTTCGGTAGCTCCCGTAGGTAACACTCATATAGCTGAAAATATTGCCAGCAGCCAATCAAGTCAGACTGCTCAAAATTGGACGCGTCCCCCTGAGAGTTGCTTGACCACATTTCGGAGTGGGGTTCGTTTGGATTTGGTCCTTCTTAGATGAACTTCGGTTCTAGAGGACTGGGTGGCTTTGATGGTTATGAGAGCTGGGAGTGCGGCTTCTCTTTTGTCGTTTTGTGGGAGTGTTGCGCGTCGATGGTCGTGGATGGTTATGAGAGCTGGGAGTGCGGCTTCTCTTTTGTCGTTTTGTGGGAGTGTGGCGCGTCGATGGTCGTGGAAAGTGGCCAGCGCCGTCGACGTGCGCGCACGCACATAAGAGTACTCTATCCATCCATCAGTGAAAAGATTTTTGTGATGCTTGACTCGAGGCATTTTACGTGCCGTGTCAGGTAGGTCTGATGCACAAAAGTCCACTTTGAGGGCTCGAGGTCGTAGTGGAAACGACCTTGGTGCACTTGATCGGATCCATCAGCATGACGACGTTGCTCTGCCGTGTTTCTTCGACATAACCACGTTTGCGTCCAGTCACCCTGAGCTGCATTCGGCGACCCGCTGCAACCGACGCCGCCGGCTCAAAAACTACCACATCTGCTTGTTGCACGTCCAGCGCTTCTCCGTATGGCTTGCCATCGATGAACCACTGCGCCTGAAGCTTGACTCCTGGATCCCAACGCCCTACACTCGAGGCAGGAAGCGTGTGATCTTTCTGGATCTCAATCGTAGGTGGAGCTTGTCGAGCTAAAGCAGCCTGATGTCCTCCTTTCTTAATGACTTCGCTCCAGAGATTTCCTCGCGGAGATTTCGCGGCCACCTCGTCCAGCAGCTTGCCCTTCTCCCCGGCATGATCTTGGAACCAGTCGCCAAGGACTCGAATATATTCCGAAGTCGAAAAATTCCGGTACTGATCTTCATGTTTTCCGTTGACTAGAATTGTGATGTTGGCCCAGTCTGGTCCGCCCTCGGCTTCGGTCTTTCGCTGGAATTCATAGACTGCTCGTTCAAGGTAGTATTGATCGTGCGTGCCGGCAGTGAGGAAAATCCGGTTGCGAAGAACTTCGCCAAGGCTGTTCCACTTCGAACACACACAGCCTGGGATTAGCCTTGGGGTTCAGAAGAACGCGTAAGGTTGAGGATTACTTACGTTGCTTATTATGTGGTGGGTTAAGTCCATAGGTCTCCAGAGCTCGGTGGCTTCAGGGTAGATCTCGCCGGTGAGCTTATCATATGGTTCCAAAGGGTAACCATTCAAGCCTTGCACGCCGAAAACCGCGGCGAAAATGTCTAGCTGTTGAAGAGAGCGAGTCTTGGTCCCGAGAGCAAGCTCGTAGTGGTTGATGCTCTCGAAATCGAAGAGACGAACTTCGGTTCCATTGGGGGAAAATTCACGGGCAATTCCATTTGCCGTTCCATTTTCCGAGTGGAAAGCGTCAGTATCATGGTAAACGTCGATGCTCTGGAACCGAGTGAAGTCGACGGGATCAGGGGACGACAGGAAAGTTGCGCCGAAGAGGTCAGGTCGAAAGACCAGATTGGCCAAGCTCTCCCAGCCGCCTGTTGAGAACCCGATCAAAACGCGCGCGTGCGGCTTGGCTATGGTGTTGAAGGACGCATCGATGTGTGGAATCAGCTCATCGTTTATTGCATCTCCCCATGGACCCAAATTCGCCGAGTTGACTGCGTACGAGTCATCGTAGAAAGGGTTCTCATGGCGAAACTCGACGATGATGATTTCTGGCGTGGCGGTATCAGGTTTTCCATTCGGGCCTGGTGAGGTTCCATTGTTCCATCGAGCAGAAAAAGGTTGGGATCTGGGATAGCCTGCGAATCCAAACCGGCCTTCGAAATGGTCGTGGCTGTACACCACCGGATAGCGCTTCTTCGTGTCGTGCTTGTCATATTTGTGCGGGAGCAGGACATTGGCGCCGACGTACATGTCTCGTTGCCTGGAAAGTCTCGTCAGTATGAATGAATTACTAGTCTGTTTCGATTTTGGGTACCAAAACTCGCTCAATAGCTTGCTGCGAATCTTCACATATTTTAACAGGTCCAGGTCTTCATAATTACCCTGAGCGCATGACGCACCAACATCCTGAGGGTTCTTCGTTTCGTTGGCCTTTGGACCGATTGTCTCGTTGAACGTCAGATTGATCTGTTGCGGTTTGCCTGTAATCTCAATATGCTGCGCAGAAGTAGCAAGACTTCCATTGGCATCAGGCATTCGTGCACCGTCATCACACGGAAAGTGAACGCTGATCATCGAGCCATCACTACGCGTCACATTCTCGTACTTGATCAAGAAAGCCTGGGTCTGATATTTCCCCTTTGGGACGTCATCAAGATCCCTGATCGGCCATCCGAAGATTCCAAAATCCGTGTTATCCGCTTTCCCGCCAGAGAAGGTCACGCTGCTTTCCGGGCCGAATTGGAAGACGTTGACGCCAAAGAAATCATTGGGTGTTGAGAATGGCACGGTATCCTGATAGGGATTTAGTGGTGGGACTACTGTAGGGAAATTCAAGTGCGATCAAGTGTGCTTACGTAGAGAGGAGCAAATTTCTCTGGCGAGAAGATCAAGATAATGCGGCCGTCGACGCTGTTTCCCAGCACTCCATCCTCGACGGATAGCTTGACCTTTAGCTTATGGTCTTTTTCGGTCTCGGCGGCGGCGGCGACACTTTGCAGGCCGTTCGCTGCAGCCAGAAGGCCGAGGAAGAAGAGGAGTGTAAACATTCGTGATGCGCGCCGTAATCATCGCTGCGGGCCAGACATGCTCATAAAGAGTACAGCTTCCTGGATTTCCGCCGTAAGCAGGGTGTAACTAAGGAAGGGACAGCTCTCTCGTGATGAGCAAACCGCGACTTTGTGTGCTTTGCCTAGAATACCTCAAATGCCCTCTCACTTGCCTAAGAGAAAGGCGAAGACCGGCTTGGAAGAGGGTTGGAGGTCACGAGAGTTCTTCCCTTATCCTTGAATGTAACCTGGAGCGGTTATGCATATAAGGAGGACAGATCGGATCCACTCTCCCCCTACCAGTATGTTAGTTATCCTAAGTAAAGCTGAATTTCTCTAAGTCCTTCGAGCTGGATTTTTGAGACAACGCGACATATAGACATAGCGATTTTAGTAAAGAAATAGAGGCAATAGAATGCCCTCTTTCGGACTAGAATATCCACTCTATAATAAAGGGCGTAGGTAGATAAAGAAATAGCCTTAGAATTCAAGATGTCCCTACTAGAGTTTGTTAGGGATCAAATATACGTAGGTATAACTAGATAAGTTCTGTCCTCCTTATATACAAAACCCCTAGAGCTAGTTAAATAGATAAATAGCAATGTTTTAATATCTAAATCCGGATCTTCTCGCTTTAGAAACTTTGTATTGCGGTAGTATTATCGAAACAATTAGTTATATATTAAAATTTGCTAATTTTGCTAGTTCGAGCTAGAATTCGCTATCCCGTAGTAGCTAGAAGTTTCTAGGCTATTTACGATAGAAACTACTATAAAATCTATAGTAGTAATTTAATAATTATATAAATTATATATTAAATTTTTTCTAGTTAAAAACTATTAGAAGCTAGTCGCGACTATATACTATATACTAACTATATCGATTTAAACACACTATGAAAGTCTTAGTAAGTTTAATAGACTTCTTACTATTCTAGTATTTAGTTGCTAGTATAGATCTAAAATTAATAGCTTATAATTTTTTAGTATTAGAATATATTTTTTAATATATTAATATTAAAGACCGCTATAATATTTGCTAAGTATTTGCTATTTTAAAAGAGGACGTGTCTAGTAATAAGGTCTTAGTATTCTACCAGCGGGTATCTGATTCTACCTTGCCTTCGTACCCTCCTCCGAGCCGTTGCAAGCCAGACACCGACCCATCAAGCAATGGCCCAACATCCCGGCGCTTGGAGTTGAGCCTATGCAAGTGCGGCATTATATGAGGAAATGAGAGCGCCGAACGTATGCTGGCGCGAGGAAGATCCGAACACATGCGTAGGAATGTGTGCTATAAAGATGATGAGACATTGGACAGAAGCATCGAGAAAGACAGCCATTCTCTTGTCTCACAAAGTGCTTGCTACTTTGTTCAGTTGCTACCGCGGTTTTCTCTCTTCACATAAAGGCATGGCCTATGAGAGTTCTGCTGGGAAACGTACCATTACACCCGCCTTCGCGTCCGCTAACAAGCAGAATTGAGTAACGACAGACAAATCAGATCTTCATACCGCAGCGTGCTCGCGAACTCGCAAAATCCTGGGACTTTGATAACTCGAGCCTCAAACGATCAAACCCGTCACCGATCATCGAGCTATCACGAACTCAGCATGGGCGACACGGCGGAGACCGAGCAGGGCCTCCAGGCTCGGAAGCAGCTTAGGAAAGAGCTCGAGCCTCACATTGACGTCCTGTACACGACAAGGGGCGAGCCATCCTTCACTTTGAGCGAGTTGATCGTATGCGCCATCGTGTTCCAAGATGAAAAGTACGCAACGGCAGATAATATCGCCGGGTGGATCACGAAAGCATGCTCATTCTATGCGCACCAAGCGATTGACAAATATATGGCCGCATTAGTGAGGCAAAGGGAAGACCCATATGAAGGCGTGTATGTGCCGAGCCTTTCTTTCCCCATATCTGGTTTCCGGGACGCCATGAAGGAGTACGATCTGCCGCTCGAGGTACTAGAGACAGATAGCTCCACCGATTCCACCAACCCCGGCAATGCCAACTACAGCACTAGGCCGCGGCGGCGGATAAAGAGACCAGCGCTTGTCAGACAGCAAATTGAGATGCCACGGTATACCATAAGTGCCGGGCCAGCGCGTGTGTATTTGCGGCATTGGTTGAATCCTCCACGCGCAGGCCATCATTTCAGATTCTTCGAACTTCCCCCAGAACTTCGCAACCGAATCTACAAGATGCTTTTCGTGTATGACGAAGAAGCACACTTAGCTACGAAACGCAAACTGGTACTGCCTGCTCCGATTCCCCGACATCGGGTAACTCTACCCAATCTTGAGCGCAACGAGAATCTTGATAAGTGTCGCGAGAACACTGCACGGATGCTTGCGCTGATCGCCACCTGCAAGCAGGCTCGCCATGAAGGTCGCGGGATCTTTTATAGTCTCAATACCTTCTACTACGAAGGCCTCGCTGCTCTGGGGAGCTCTCTGCTCAAATCCTCGGGCGTCAGCCTCGACATGCTCCGGCGCCTCAGTCTCTCTGTAGACTTCCTCCCACGCACTAGGGGCTGGAGTAGATCCGATTCCTCGCGCATATCGTGGGTTCGCCAGAGCATTGCAGGTGTTCAGCTTCTTGGCCAGCTTCGACTGGACAAGCTGGTCCTTTTCCAAGCCTCGTGTCCGGCCTACAGTACTTGCCGATCGCGGTCCCATCATCTCGATATGGTGAAGGCGACGCGAGCGGATGATGATACCAACACCTTGTTCACGGTCTGCTTAAACGCAATCGTTGCAGCTGCGAAAAGGGCGAAGCATGTGAAAGTGTACCCTTATGGAGGTTGCAACGCCCTGGAACAATACATACATACCCGCTTGAAGGAAGCGGTCTCTGTCAAGATGCTGTGCTGCTCATTTCCGAAGTATCGCGAGGATGACATGCTATTCTTGTAGCAATCTGCGACCAGCTCGAGTACCAGCCTCCTACGCCGCTTTCTGGAGTTCAGATCTACATTCTCTACTCACACACAATACAACCTTTCATTCTGCTTGATCGCTGAGAACCTTCTCGCTGGCCTTTCCTTCCCAACCCTCGCGCCAAGATCCGCATCCCGGTCCCGGTGTTTCCTCCAACACTCTTGCATCCTCCACTTTTTTATCGCCTCTTCCATCCTTTCACAATGCACTAGAGACTGTGCAAGCTGCTTGATTCAGGTATGGTTCTCATTTCTGCTTGATATACAGCGCGGACTGACCAAGCAATAGACACTATGAGCCAAGCCACCTTCTCGGGTCTGCCTTTCGAGTGCAGACTGCGCATCTACGAATACGTCCTGGATCTGCAAGCTACATCGCACCTCCATGCACTGTCTATAACTAGGAAAGGACAAAAGGGCCATTATTGCTGTGCACGACCTCATCCGTCCTGGCGTCGGCGAGGAGATTGCAATGAGCCGACCGCTCGACTATTTACTGGGTGCTTGGCGATGAATTCGTTTCCGAAGTTGGGAGGCCGCTAGAAAGCGTAGAGATATTTCTGGAAGCCCTGTCCTGGAAAAGTACGCGTACAACGAAATCGAGCTTTGGAAGGAAAACTTGCTTGTAGTGTTCGAAAACGACAATCATGTTTGGCAAAGTTCAGCCTCTTCTCTCGCTGCTCCGGTCCGTCGTGAATCTCCACTTGGAGCAACGTTGGCTCTCCACGTGAGTACTACTCTTTGCGACTTCTTCAGAAGCCTGCTGAATGCCGCGGTTGATGTCTTGGCGAAGCTGCTCATTCTAGACCTGGAAGAAGAGCGGGTAGTGGTAGGTGACAATTGGCCCTCGCCCTCCCACTGATCTTCCTCATCTCGCGATCCTGTAAATGAATCGACCTTCCTGTCGAATGACGTGGCTTTCAACAAAAGCTCTTCTGATGCTCTCTCGTGCTCCATATTGGGAATCATTTCTGCGCTCGGATTTCGTCCTTCACGATCAGTGAGGTGCAGCTTGCTATCATAGTTATATACCGGAGCGATGGCGAAACAAAAGTATCTCATAAACAAACACAAGCTTGAGCACGGATCCTCCCGGAATTGGAAAGAAATCATCGTTGAGTTTAGGAATCTTAAAGATGCCCTGGTTAGAATAACCTACTAGAAGTATCGCACGTACCTCATCAAGCCTGGCGTGCGGATACCCAACGCATGGTCTACCGTCTCCTCTATTGCTTCTTGTGAAATCATACTGATGTTGCGACATACTTTACGAAAGGCTTTTGCCGAACCCAAGACTCACGATATTCTACTTCAGATTCTTCCATTCTTGGTACGAGCAAAGGAGCTTGGGTCTTGTTCTGCCCTTCCAGGGCAAATGCACCGCATGAGAAACTGCTCTTGCGAATTCAAATGCCCCACTCTGCCTTTTCTTCCTCGATTGAGAATCGAGTCCAGACTGCGAGCAAGGAAAACGGAAGATATTGTGAGACCCAGCACTTCGGAACTACGCGGTCTGGGAACTGGATCTCCGCAAGCGTCTGTCACGACCAGTATTCTAAGTTTAACTGAAGGTCGCTGATCAAGAGGAGATGTCCGTCTCAAGATCTTGATTCGGATTTTTAGGAGCATCGGCAGTGTTTGTCTCGCTCAAACAGAGACGCTCCTCCTCCGTGACTGAGTTCCTTATCTGGCGCTGCGGTCGACGTAGAGTATGTATGGAGCAGCACCTCCGTCTTTCGCCTCTGCCTGACGCCCTGCATTTCCGACCGGTCTGTTCTGGCGGAGAATGGCGTTGCGCGGTAATGTTCAATACAGTAGAGCCTGTGGGAAGAACACCTGCACGAACAGTAACAACACGACCACATCGAAACTTGTACTTAGCATAGTGTAGTGGAAGACTAGGTACTGCTGCTAGCTGCAGGAACTTCACTTCTCGCACACTATACCGAATCTGGAAGGTTATGCTTAAAACGCACACCATGCCTTTTTGGTTTTTTAGACCCGAGCCGGATCCTAGAGTTATACATACAGATATAGAACTTTAGCTCACCAAGGGTTTTACATTCTTGCGCAAGCGACAGGAAATCAGATTGCCCTCGAGGACTCGAGGAGACGGTCTTGCGTTGCGCGGTCTGCAGGCAGAAGAAAGCTGGTTGAACTAACCCCACCCAGATGAATGCTGCTTGTTCTGCCAAGTCTTCGAAGTAATGTTCTTCACCACTTGCAATCCATATGGACTCTCATATCTTAGACGTCTATTCCTTCGGAAGATTCAGAAACCATCATAGTCCAAGGATCTGACCACCAAGGTGGCAAGAGCTGTTTCCCGGTCCCGAAGCAACATGACGTCCAAAATTCCTCCAAAGCATTGCCTTTTCGTTTCCCACAATATCTCCTTGTTAAGCACAGTGAAATTCACAAAAGAAAAAAAAAGGATCCCATACCTACCAAACCACCCACCATGCCCGCACCCTACAAACTCATAATCCTCCGCCACGGCCGCTCAACATGGAACGAAAAAAACCTCTTCACCGGCTGGGTCGACGTCCCACTAAACGAGCAAGGCACAACCGAAGCCATCCAGGCCGGAAACCTCCTCAAAGAATCCGACTGGCTTCCAGATCTCCTCTACACCTCACTCCTCCGCCGAGCCATCGTAACCGCGAACCTGGCTCTGGACGAAGCAGACCGGCTCTGGATCCCCGTCAAGCGAAGCTGGCGTCTAAACGAACGCCATTACGGCGGCCTCCAAGGCCTCAATAAAGCCGAATCCGCGGAGAAACATGGCGAGAAACAAGTCAAGATTTGGAGGAGGAGTTATGATACACGACCTCCCGGGACGAGTGGGGAGTATCGCAAAACCGAGGATTTCGATGGGAGGTATCGGAATGCGGGGATTGAGGTTCCGAGGACGGAGTGTTTGAAGGATGTTTTGGAGAGGGTGTTGCCGTATTGGGAGAGTGATGTTGTGCCGGATTTGCAGATGGGAAAGGTGGTGTTGATTGCTGCGCATGGGAATAGTTTGAGGGCTTTGATGAAGTATATGGAGGATATTGCGGATGGGGATATTGCTGAGGTGGAGATTCCGACTGGTGTGCCTATTGTTTATGAGTTGGATGAGGAGTTTAAGGGGAAGGGGAAGCGTTTGCGATAGGAAATCTTGTCGGGGTCGGGGAAGGTGAGGTGAGCTCTGTGGGCTATACACCATCGATGCTGCTTGTCTTCCCACGGACCTTGCTCACAATGTCATGACTGCTTACCAACTTAGTCTGCTAAAAGGGCTAGATAGACTTGCCTTGGTGTAGCGAAATCTTCGTGCCATTCTGCACGTGCGGAAAAGTCTGCATGATCAGCGTCCTGACTCATGAATGCTTGTGGAAGGCATCTCCAAGGTGTGTCACTGACTCAATGGCGTACATCCAACTCTCCAGTTTAGAAAAATGTGCGCAGGGCAGTGGGAATCGGAGCAGTCTGGCCAGTCGTTGAAGAGCCTGAACTGCAAAGATATGTAGGATATTCAATCTCACGTTGAGTCCCTTGTGGGTCGGAGTCGGCTATCTAGCGTGCTGCCCTCGATTCATGACATGCTGATGATGTGCAGTAGTGCTGCTTGTCGAAGCCATGGCGCCACGGTCCGAAAGTCAGCAATGAATCACGTTGGGCACCATCATTGACGGTAGGAGGCGCAGCGTGGTGGTTGGTGGTCCAGCTGCAGCGCAAGTTGTATCAATATCATTTCCAGCAGAATTTGGTTAAGCGTGTGACTTGTCCGATGCCGTCTCAAAGGGTTATCCATGCTCTGTCGTTTGATCGAGGCGGAACATCTCCATGTTGCGTACTACAGAGGAGGTCCGGGGATCTGCGATCGATTGAGGTCCCTGCGAGAAGGCCAGCAAGTTCAGCTTGAATTCTGGGCCGTGAGTGTCGTTCTCACATGGACCCTGCTCTGGCAATTGGCATGCAGGGCAGGTAAACGAAAGTCTAGAAGGGAATGAGTCGTGATCAACCAGTTGATCTGAAAAGTGCAGGCGCTGCGGCTTGGCCTTATCCTCGGTGCCTGCATGTGGTTGCCAGGCGGCCGAGAACAAACACGCCATAATAGACACGTGCGGCGTGACCAGATCGACTTCATGCATGGTGGTTTGTGGTACTAGAGTTCAATGTCCCTTCAAGGCAATGAAGTTCGCACAGCACCAATCGGAGGCTCGGCTTCTACTGCAGAGTAAGGGGTGCTTTTCGATCACTCCGCCTTTACTGACAAGCCTGATCGTCCAACGACTTGACCAAACAGGATTTCGCGTTCATGTGATGGGTTAGCTGCTCTCCCTCCGAACTCGGGACTCGGATGTTGGTCGACTCCGGTTTTACAGATGTTGCATCCAGAATGCAAGATCGGCTGCACGCATGCGTTCGGCAATATACTTCAACGTTCCAAATGCCACCTGCGCTTGCCCTCCATCCTCATATCAATCGCTCACTCTACAAAATCCTGACTTGATTGCGATCTAGCACGCTCCATACGGTGGCTGTATCACGCCGCTTGTGATTCGTGCGTGGAGGCTGCAGTGCCTGGATGGGTACATAGAACCATCGCTGAGGCGGAAGCGATTGTCCTGAGACCAAGAGACTGCCCTACCAACCAGGATGGATACCAACGACATATCGTCTTCGCACCGCTCGCGGCTTTCCAAGGAACAGCGCCGGAGGACCGTCGCATATGGATACGGCCTTATGAAGTCCACATCGCCAAAGGAGGATCGTTCTCAAGTCATGCCCGGGATTGAGCCAGGACATAGGAGCACATCTCGGCCAGCGGATCCATATCGTCCAGAAGGCCCGCAGAGATCAAGTACCTTTGGACTAGCCCAGGGCCAGATGCTGCCACGAAGGAAGCGAGAGGAACTTCTCCATGAGGTACGTTGTAGGAGAGGCCAAGATACTGCCAGGATCCATCCTGATGTTGCCATGCAGAGGAGGGAAACCTTTCAACCTTCAACGTACCCCCCTCCCCTAGAGCAGAGTATCAGTCCACCCGTGCCTGCTATGCCCATCAAGCAGAGCACCACGAGAGCTGAGGAACGGAGGTAGGCGCCCAAGAAGGGTCTTTCTTAACGAGTTCCTGACGGACCGCAGGACGCACAGTTCCAGCTCTTATACGGTTCTGACGAAACTGCTCGCGGTGGCAGATCGAAACGAAGCTCTGATGCGGTCCTTGCTTGCTCGAATGGATGCCATGGATACGAGAATGCAGGCATTGGCGTTGCGAATGGACGAGGCTTGAGGAAGGAGTCAGGAGGAAAGGTTCCACGATGACTTCCTTGCGATGCTGCGGATGAGTGATGATTTATGTAGCAAATATCTCCAATGCCAGTGTCCAGGCGTGTTGACGCGACCGGAAACAGAGTTCAAGATTCACTTCTCAGATCTGAGCACGGGCCGCCGGAGAAAACATCTAGGAGTTGACCCTGAAAGTGTCTTCCCGTTCTGTCTAGACTTCCATCTTCAACTCCCAACCCGACGACGCCGAGCATAAGATGCGCCAGTGCATATAATCCTTCGATGTTAACGGCGCATTTGATAGTCCCGAAGTGTTGTAATTGAGCTAAGCAGAACAAGTTATTAATTAATTAACTATAGAATTATATAGGGAAAGGAATTAAGTTCTATCTAAGCTAGAGACTATATATATTACTAGGAAATTAGGCCTTAGTACTTAGTAGTGCTAACTGATCTACTAATCCCGGCTAATCTATAACACTCCCCCTCTAGCAGAATCTATTAGAATAAAAAGGCTACTTTCCCTTACTTTTCCCTTTCTCGGCTATTATAGGCTTATTAGATAAAGTATAACTACCTTATAATTAATCAGATGCAGGTAACCTGTATATTACGTTCTAAGTAATATAGGGTTGCTTCTCCTAGTTCGCTAATTAGTCTAGTTCTTTTATATATATTAAAGTAAAAGTAAAGTCGTGCTTACTATGCGTTTACTATTAGACCCTGTCTTTATAGTAAGCCTAGCAGTCTATATTTAAGGAGTGCGCTTTCTATTTAAACTTAAACTTCTTCTTTCTACTAACTAATATATAACTAAGAATTCTCCGATATACTTTAATATAACTTAATTTTAACTAGAGGTACTATTATAGCTGCGGCAACTTAGCCTAGTCCGGGTAGCCTAGCTAGTAGTATAGGTAGTAGTAGTAGTAGCGGCGGAGGAGACGACCTAAATAAGAAGCTACCTAGTCGTTACGATAAGTAGTAGTTAGTTAACAATAGTAAGGCTTTATTAATTAGATGCGCCTTCCTAGGCTAATAGAGAGTAGTCTTAAAGGAGATTAAGATTACCGTCGCGATCCTATAGAGGATCCTAATCGCTCTAGCTAGTTCGAAGTTTAACGAGATGCCTCCCTAGCTACGTAATAGCGACGTTGTTATCTTCGTACGTGCCTTTAAGGAAAAGGGAAGCAAAACTCCCTTATTCCTAGCTATCGCTACTATAATACGTAGGGCGGACAAGAAGTTTAACCTAGCCTCTAGATCTAACGTTAACTATCTTCTAGCTATACTCGTATATACTGCTTCTAGTCGCACTATCTATTAGGGGAATAATAGGTACAAGCCCTATTAGGAGGGTAAGGGAGCATATAAGGAGTATATTACTCTAACTATTAATAGGAGCAAGTTCCTTAAGGGTACCTATACTAATTGTGCTAGCCCGAACTATTATAGTTATTATAATAAGTCGAGTAAGCTAGGTTTAACTTGAGATTTCAATTAGAAGCTAACTAGGTTATAGGCTATATATCGCGCCCTCGTTCGAGCACTAATCGCTAGGCAAATCTTCCGGGTCCTATTAGGCTGCCGCCTCGTAATCTAGGCAGTATAGTAGGTAGTAATTAGCGTCGCCTATATATCCCGATTCCTTCTAGGATTAATTAGAACACTCCGGAAGGCGCTTAGGCGATTGCGAACGCGTTAGCTTAGTAGGTAGGGGTCTACGCTACTACTATAATAGCTAGTCGTAGTCGGAATCTATACTCTCGCCTTTCTTCTAGATCGGCTATACTAGTCCCGTCTAGCTCCTCTTAGAGTAGGCTATCCGATCGTTACTCTTCTTAGAGTAGGCTATTAGATCGCTAAGATAAAGACAAGGGCGACTCTAACGAGGAAATAGGTAGTCCTTAAAGGGATAGGAGTATTCTTAGAAGGTTAGAGATCCTTTAGATAAAACTTCTAATATATAATTTAAGATTTATAGTATTAGGGAGATTCTAGTCCTTATAGATTAGGCTAATCCAGTTTCGATATTTGTTTCTACTTTAAGATGTTATACTAAGAGCTAAAAGATTGCTCTAGATACCGAGATGCCCTAGTAGAGAACTAGAAGAGTAGTTAGTCTATAGAAAGTAATAAAATAAAAATAAGTATATTAAGTTTGACTTCCTGTTCTAGTAATAAATAAGAGTAGAATAAGTGACTTTAGAGTTTGTCCTTTACTAGTCTAGATCCTAGAGGATAGAGTTGTTTAACTTAGGCTTAGTAAGCCAGTCTGCTATTTAGAGATTAGTAGGAATATACTAAATATCGATCCTTCCTTTGTTATACTACTCTCTATAGTAATAGTTCCTTAGGGAAACATACCTTAACCTACCGGAGTTAGTATAATTCTTTACAAGGTAAATAGTTAACTAGTTGTTACAGTTGATTTTAATATAGTTAAACTTAAACCTAGTAAAGCTACTAATTTCCTTTAAGAGGTTCCTTAGCTACTTCAACTCCCTTATAGCCTTAGTAAGTGCTATATACTCTACTTTAGTACTAGAGTAGACAACTTCCTTCTAAAGCTAGGATTTCTAGAGAACTAGCCCTCCTACTATAAGGAGTAGGAACCCTAATATAGACCTCGAGGTTTTTAGGTCTCTAGTAAAGTTAGAATCTAAGTAGACCTTAAGGTAGCTCTTAAGATCAACCTTTCTAGACTTACTCTTTTTAAATACTAGGGACTTGTTAACTATTCCTGCAATATATTTCTAAATATGTCTTACTACTATAATATGCTCTAGTCTAGGGTTTTATAGGGATCTAGCTAAGTGGTTGATAGTATAAGTAATATTAGGTCTTATCTAGTTAGAAAGATACTATAGCTCCCTAATTATCTAATTAAAGAGTTTATAGTCCTCCTTCTTATAGTCTTATTCGAAAGCAGTTAGGAGTTTCTTAAGTAGGTACTTTACACCCTTGCATTAGTTAAGACTATGCTTTCTTAGCTTCTCTAGAGAGTAATGCTTCTAAGAGACTCTAAGACTTGTACTGTCTTTAATAATATACAATCTAAGGAAGAGGTTTATCTAGACAACCTTAATTGTATAGGTTTTCCTAAGTCCTTTAATTAGCTTGTTAATCCTAGCTTAGGCTTTGCTAAAAATCTGAAAGTTATTAATATAAAGGATAACCAAAATTCCTTCTCTAATAAAGAGGTAGGCATCGCTCTTAGTTTTGTATAAACTAAGGATCTTAAGTGTAGCTTTAGTATCGTAGTACTACAAAGTAGCTAACTGCTTTATACTATATAAGCCTTTCTATACAATTATATATAGAAATTTCTCTAGGTCCTTTCTAATTAAATGTAATCCCTTAGGTGTGTTTATATAGTTAGGTCTGTTCTACCTCCTTCTTAGGCTCTTCTTATAGACTTTATCCTACCTTCTACCTTCTACCTTCTACCTTCTACCTTCTACCTTCTACCTTCCTTTACTTAACCTACGTACAATTAGCGTCGATCGGTTGTTAGGACCAAAGAGGTTATACGTGATTGGCATGTAACTAGGCTCGAGTAAAGCTAGGGTCTTAATGCCTTAGGTAGGGCTTAGCGCTTGGCGTTAGGCTAACTAGCCTGCCTTCCTCCCTCTCCTCTTAGATCTCTATCGAATACTATACTAATTTACGACTACCCTATCTACCTGCTAATATAACCCTTCTTATATAGTATTCGATCCACCCTTTAAGGGCAGTAGCTAGATAGTTCTTATTTCAAGCTTTTAGCGGTATAGCTACGAACAAGACTAATCTAACTATATTGCGCCCGAAGAACGGGACCTACACGTACTATTCTATCGAAACAACCGTACCAATTATTAAGCAAGGCCTTCTATACAGCCTATTATACTAAGTCAAGCATACTAGACCGATATCTACTAACTCCGCTACATCCGTATCTTAGGGGCTAATAATATATTATTAGTGCTACCCCTTATTACAATAGCCGGCTTATTACGAAACAACAATCGCGGCGCCGCTAGTAGCGCTAGCAACGACAATGCTAGTAGCACAGTGCCTGCTAAAGTGCCTACTAAAGTGCCTCCTACTAAGGAGCCTACTACTAGGCCTGCCGAAGAACCTGTAATTCTAGGTAACGACCTAGAGTTGCCTATTAACGACATTCTTAGCAATATTGTTAACCGTCGATATAGCTAACTAGCCTTTAGCCCTCAACTATTAGGGAGACTTCGAGAAGCTACTTAAAACAGGCTTACTGCCCTACGTTAAGAACAATAGCTAAAGGATAATCTCCTCGAGCTCCGTCGCCTTTAGGAAGCCCCGATAGCAAAACTAACAGCGGGACCTTCTTTACTACCTATCTAAAAGAAGGATGCTAAACTTAAGGACTATACTGTGTTTAATAGCTCTAGTCGAAAGCAGTATAACGACTACATTCGTAACTGTAAACTCAACTAGCGCAATGTACTAAGAGCGCTACTAGACGACTATTCCTTAGTCGTACACGCTATATAGTATATTAATAGCGACCTAAAGCGCATATAGGATAACTATTTCGACTCCCTTAATAACTAGACTACTGTTTAGTAGCAAACCTACAAAACCATTATTGGCTAGTAACCGGCCCTATACACCTAGGCTGAGTTTTGAGCCTATATAAGAGGCCTCCTTCTACATTGTAGATAGGGCACCAACCTCGTACAGCACATTGTTTATATTACACTTCTACAATGCCTATATTGCAGGGCCCTAGTTATTAGCCTAAGCAACCGTCTTATTATCCTATTATACTAAATATAGCTACCTATATTGCTATAGGTTATGTTACCCTCGGTAGCCTATACTATTACTACAGGTAGTAGTAGTAGTTTTGGTTTCCGTCCTTTATTAAAGCCGAAGGTAGGGCTATCTCTTTATATCTAACAGGTTCGGGTATGTTAAAGGTAGTCTCTAGGCACGAATAGCTATAACTAAAGCGAGGGTACGATAAGAGCCTACGATACGGACGATACCGAAGTATCTTAAGGGGCTATTACGACAAGCAGAGAAACCTCTTAACGAGGGCATCGCTTTAACCCCGAAAAGCTGCAAACCCTTAGGACTGTTACAGCTTAGGGCCTAG